TCCCGTACGGCTCCGCGATCGGGCCCGAAATGACCTGCGGGGTGGCGCGCTCGATATTCGGTTTTTGCTGCATTGGGTTTGTGGAAATATCCTGGGATTTTGTGACACGGTTTGACCGCGATCGCCACCTGATGCAGGTTTTGATACCGTACAATCCAACCGTCCGAGCCTGGCACGCGTCCGATCTGTGACTCAGGCTTGCTCCAGTGCGAACCCTAACCCTAAGTTGCCCCCAACGTCTGCAGTTTGGAAACATCTGAATCACGGTCCTGTATCCTAAGGCTAGAGCTCCTCTCGGTCAGGCTTGTGGAGCGTCTGACTCAGGCTTAAAACTTCTTTCTTAGCCACGTGGAGCTTCCTTAATTGTTCTAGTCAGGCTCGGAAACACTTTATTGTGCCACATGGAGCTTCCCTGATTGTCTTGGTCAGTTTTCTCTTCAGAGAGGCAACCACCCTCAACCACCTCGTCTGAGTCGGGCCTTTCATTGAAGGCTTCAACTTTCGGTTCCAAGAAGTTCGTATCTATATAAAGAGGTTCTGCCCCCTCATTCGATCATTTCCCAAATGTTTCTTAGCAGCAGCCCAACAACAGCTGAGTCTCCAGCCATCCTCTCTTCTCAAACCCGACCTGCCTACCACACTCCTCTGCAGCGCCATTTGCAGCACAGCATCACCCGCTTTCTTTGTCCACACCATTACATCAGCAGCTTCCTTTGCACCATCTTGCGGAGCCGGATCTCTGGAGCTCTTGCGTGCGCTTCTCAAGCTCCGTCCCTCTTGCGAGCAGCTTCACCAGTTTCTGCTGCACCTCCATTGTGTGGACTCTTGTTGAAGCATTCTGCCAACTTCAATTGTCATCGCGGAGCTAGTGCGTCTGTCCAGCTGTGCAGCCTCCAGTCAGCAGCTGGTGATTGAGCTCTAGCACTAGTTTGCCAGTGACAAGCGCAGAAGCGTGCGCCAGATGGAAAAAGAAATCTCCCAAAAGGTCTTTTGAGGTGAGTGTGATTGAAGTGAATGAAGTCAGACCTAGATTAAACATACCAAAGTCCCCAATCTCTTCAAGCTACCGAGTAGCTCAAATGTTTAGAGTTGCATGTTGCAACAGGCTGCCAACATCTCTGCACTCAAGGAGCTAAACAATCAGTGAGAATTGAGTACAACTTGGCTCGTCCATGTTCTGCCAGTTCCGAGAGCACATGCCCAACTCGAGAACAAGAGTACTAGCAAGGCGCCATGCTTCCCGTCCATCTTTTGTCGTTTCTTTTTATGCATCTCAATTGCAAAACCTAGACAGCATTGATCTCAAGGCCCTGCCCGTCAAGATCATGCAGATCAGGCTTCTCTTCAACTCAGCATCCACGTGCGCAGCTGCCAAACGCTAGGGTTGCCGGAAGTGTGCTTCGAGCTGTCAGCTTCTGATTGTGAACTCTTGTATAGGTCGAATTGAGGCTCCATCAGCGTGGAGGCAGCTTCGTCAAACAACTTGCAGAAGACCACCAACAAGGCTGCAACTGGGGGCTGTTGGGCATGGATTCCGACCTGCAATTCCATTGGGAAAGGTAAGCCTGTTTAGCTAGCGCTTCTTTGAAGTTGACCTGGACTGTCATGGGAGTTTGGGTCCCAGTGCACTAAGAACAACACAACCCTGCTATATAGTACGAGGAGCACCGGCACTCTGACTGCATTTCTGGAATACCAGTCTACATTTCGTGGTTTCTGTACAAGGGTCAATCTAGACAAGGCTGTGGCGACAATTCGAGCAAGAAGTTTATACGATGTGCTGAGATCAATGCTGAATTTGAGCTTCATTTGCACCCGAAGGCTGACCTGCACCCTTTGTTCTGTTCCTCTTCAGTGATCCATCATCCTCTGAAGAATCGGAAGGAGAGGACATCGAAGGTGTCGAGTATGAGCCCCGCTCTGTTGACGGCTCCAACTCCGGACGCTCATTGGAGGGGTTCCTTCGAGACGAGGACTTTGCCAGCATCCAAGGCCCGTCTTTCTATAGGGCGCGGGACAACGAGAAAAGCTTCAGTCCAGCTCAGCTACCACGCGGTCTCTCAAATCTGTTCAGCAAGAAGAGACCTGCTCCGATGAGCTTGCTTCGTGTATCTGCTCCTGATGGCAGCATATTCGCCCTTGTTTGACCTCACTTATCTGATACAGGCTGAGAAAGAAGAACGCCTCTTCTTTGATGCGAAACAGGCCCACAACTCGTGCCTTGTCATGTTTGAACACAAGGTACGGGCAGTGATTGCTTCGGACAGATCCAAGTGTTCTTGTCAGATTCATCATCCCCATCAAGCCCATTGCCAATCGACTTTTTGTTAATGAACGGCCGTTGAAAATGGGCTCTGGGCTGCTCTTGAAGAACCATGAGTCGCTCACCGTCATGTATGCTATGCAGGGGTATCAGCCTACATCTCCGTTTTTCTGGTCCTCCGGCAGCGCCTTCGGCAAGCAGACATGCGTAACACCAGTGCCAAGCAACCCAAAGGTTCCCGCAATCTCATCTCAGACTGTCACGTCAGATGCGAGCGGCGGTGCAATTCGTTTGCAGGCTTGCAGTCGCTCAGAAGCATGCAGAACAGGGTGCGGATAATGATTTGTCAATTACGCGGAGAATTTTTGGATGTTGACAATCGCCTCAAGTTAAGATAAAAGGCTGTTGCACTCCAACTTGGACGATCTCCTCATTTTGCACTTCAACGGAAGTTCCCTTTAAGTCACCTAGCTCTGTCGAAACTTCTTACCCCCTTCGACCCACTGCCTTTCATTCTCAGGTGCCTTCATCGCGTCGCATCCTGCAAAATGTTGGCGGCAAGAGGCTCGCGAGCGAAGCTTCAGCTGGCAACTGCAGTCAGAGGCCAACATGGAGGAGAGGCCTCGTAAAGAAGCGCCGGTGCGTCATCCTCTCGCAAGAGTCAAAAGAAGAGCAGCCGGTGAGTCGAGTTCCGTCCAGGTTTTGCAGATGAGATGCATATATAAAAACGACCAAACATGGACCATAAGCTTGCGTTTCTCCTTTACGTGTCTCCGATGCAAAACCTGGACGACGGCAAAGATCTCGAGGCCCCCGATTTGTCACTCAGAACTTGCGAAATTCGAGGCACGTGCCTCGAGTCGAGTTTCGTCCAGGTTTTGCAGATGAGATGCATATATAAAAACCTCAAAACGTGGACATCAGCTTGAGTCCGTTTTCTGCAGCCAGCTCTGCTCGTCCTCTGTGAGACCCGTATAAGCTCTCAGAACTTGCAAGAGTCGATGCACGTGCCTAAGCTCGGGGACAGAACAAGTCGCCGTCCATGTTCTGTCAATTCTTTATACGTGTCTCTGATGCAAAATCTGGACGGCAAAGGCCCTAAAGCAGTCAAAAGGTCCCTTCGTAGCAGAAAGCGAGCAGTGCTAACTCTGCTCAGCACTCAGATCAACGCCTTCCATCACGGTTGGCCTCGATCAAGTTTTTGGGAACGGAGGCAAAAGCCAGCAATTCCTGACGCACGCTCCTTCGTCCTTTCTGCAGGTGGATATCGGTCCACCGGTTGACAGGGTGCGCGCAACTGATCGCAGCCAAGAGAGTGGTTTCGCACAAGGGCAAGCTCAGGTACAGCGCCTGGCCATAAGCACCGTTTTAGATTAGATGTGGGCAAGTTGGTAGAAGCTCGTAGCAGACTCGATTGCAGACACGCGAGTGGGAGCAGTTTAGTCAGGAACGAGAAACTCCAATTCAGACCTTCAAACGATTACAATATCCCGCACCCATTTGTGCAAGTCGATTCATGCATTGAAAGAGCCGCTCAAAACTGAATGGCTTCTTCATGAGTGTCGTTTATTACTTGGATAAGCGAGCCGTTCATTCCGTCAGCTCGTATGTTACCTCAGCTAGTCCTTTGGTAGCGTCCGTGCAATGTCTCTTCTCGATTCAACATGCAAACACTAGAGGCTGTCGAAATCAATCATGTGATGTGTGTCTAGCAAAGTAGCGTAATCCCTCAGCCCTTGGTGCAGACCCCTGGTCGGGTGGTAGTGCACACCGAGCAGGATGGTGCAGTTCAGACGGTGCAAGAAAACAAGCTTGGAACGGCCTTCTTCTCCAAGCTCAGTCGAGCAAAGCTCCACTACCAAGATCCGAAGAATGGGCCACAGGGTTTCAGCAAGCGGTACGCTGCTCTCTGTGATCACACGGTGGAGTTGCATCTTCTCGACCATAAGGGCTATCGTAGCTACGGGTCGTACCAAAACTGGCCGACCGCGCGGGACTACACTTCGCAGCAGCCTTTCCTTGAGGAGGTGCTTGTCGAAGGAAAACCGTGCAAGCCGTTCCTAGACATGGAAAGAGATCGGGGTTTGCCCCAGGGGGAAAATCTTGAGAGCGTCATCAGCCAGTTTGAAGACGCCATTACGAAGATCTTCGCGGAGGACTACGCAGTCGAGATCCAAGAGCGGGACTTCAACTGGGTCCACTGCGACTACGGACCCGGCGGCAAGTTCAGCGTCCATCTCGTCATCTCAACACACGGGCCGCGGCAACTGGTCTTCCGCTCCAATCTCGCCCCTAACGTTGACCCGCAAGGAGCAGGGCACCTCGCTCGCAGGCTTGCTAAGGTTCTCCCCCCAACCCTGGCTGACCTCATCGACCAAAGCGTCTACACTCGGAATCGAGGCATCCGGATGCCTGGTTGCGCAAAGCCCTCCAGACCTAACTGCCCGCTGCGTCCTCTGGACCCCACCAAGCCGTATGCTGACAGCGTCATCACCTGGTTCGACGAGGTAGGTGATGTGTAGGACGGGTTGTGATGGAACCGTTGATTTTCAGCACCTTTCAAAGTGTCATCAGGCAACTTGACTTCGACTTTCACAAGGACCTGGGATCGCCTGTCCAGTTTTTGTCTTTTTATATTATGCTCCTTCTTTGCAAAACGTGGACAAGTTTGGGCGCACCATCTGCTATCTAGATCGTGCGCCAAGGACTGCAAGATGTGAAAAAGGTCCCACCTTTGGCTGACGTTAACCGGGTCCCACTGAAATATATCAAGGTCTCTTGTCCTCGTGCTTGATATTATGCGACAATCTGCAAATTGAGCATGTTTCGTTCGAACTGTCATCAGGCTTCGACTTCCACAAGGACCTGGGATCGCCTGTCCAGGTTCTGTATATGTATATTATGCTCCTTCTTTGCAAAACGTGGACAAGTTTGTGCGCAACATCTGCAAATGTAGATCGTGCGCCCAAGCAAGGCCCCACTACTAGCTGACGTCATCAATTTGCTTCGCTGTGTGACCAGGAGATTGACTTCATCAAGGTCCCTGTCCTCGTGCCTGATGCTGTGCGACAACAACGGCGCCCCACAAAGCCCGCAGAGATGGCTGTTCTCAGCGCCACCAATCTGGACGCCTACACGGTCCAGCGCTGCCTAGAGCTCTTGCAAGCACGGTTGCATCCAACGGCCTACAAGCGAGGAGCGAGTAGGGCGCTCAACTTTAGCTGGACGGACCGAGAAGGAGAGCCGTGCTACACCGGGCACACTCACTCTGGGGTGCGCGATCTTTTGTGCGTCGTGAACGAGGCGCAGAACGCTGTCTTTGCCAAGTGCTCCAGCGAGCGAAAAGACTCCACGACCGGAGTGTGCTGCAAGGAGCAGCCTGCTCACTATCTCGGCCGCTTGTACGAGGACGTGGAGACTTGGAAGGCCGGCGCCATCGAGATCGACATGCGCTATCTCGAACGGGACCCCCTTGCTGCTGGACCGATGGATCTGCAGCTGATCCGGATGAGCTCGAAGGGGATGACGGACAAGATTCTTTTCAACAACGTGGTCAACAGGTGAATCAGCAGGTTTCGATGGCTGCAATTACAAACTTGAAGGACCTGTCGCCACTTGCTTGTAGTCTCTTGTGATCCAGCAAGTTGCACAAGCACGTGAATTCACCTTATGAACCGGATTCCAATTGATGACACCGTGTTTCTTCTGCGCTTTCTCAGATTTGACCGCACGTATGATATGCTGATAAACGGGTAACTTAGCTTCGAAGTCAAGTGGTTTGCCCACCCACCGTTAAAGTAGATTCTCGGCTTTTCAGGTGGCAAGCTGGCGAGTTCCAGGCGCTCCTCGTTCGAAGCCCGATGGGCACGGGCAAATCCGAGCTGGTCAAGCGGATCAAGGCGGAGGAGCCCGTCCCCCAGAAGATTCTGCTGGTCACATATCGGCAGACGCAGGCGTCTGATGCGCATGGCAAAAACCCGGAGTTCGCCCACTATGCGGACCTCAAAGCCCTGCCATCCCAGCTGAACGAGCAAGGGGATTTCGTTGCTCCTTTAGCCGACAGAGTGCGGTTCCCAAAAGTCATAGTCCAGGTCGACAGCCTTTACCACCTCCTCGATGAGAGCAAAGTGGTCGACTCATTCGATCTCGTAATCCTTGACGAGAGCGAGTCCAACCTGGCCCATCTTTCAGCTGATACCCTCTCTAACCGACATCGGATCGCCAACTTCCTGATTGAGCTTCTGTGCCAAGCAAAGCGGATTATAGCGCTGGATGGGCACCTGGCTCAGCGGACGTTCGACTTTCTCACAATGAGCGGCATCCCGTGCGGGCCTGTTGTGATCAACAATCATCTACCAGAGCGGACGATTTGTGACTAGATTAGGGACCCCGGGAACAAAATTTCCTGGGAGCTTTTGCTGAAGTTGACCGCTTCTTGGGAAAATTTGTCACCTTGGAGTTTGAATTCTGATTTTCAATAGAAAATCGTGCATCTTGTCTCTAATTCTAGAATCTAACGGCGGTGCT